TCGTGCGCGGCGCGGGTGACGGCGGCGCTGGGCGCGGCGCGCGCGGCGGGCGCGGGGCCCGCCTGGAGGGACGCCGCCGACCTTCTCACCGCCGCCACACATCTAGACCCTGCTGATCTCATCGCTGCGCATGATCTGGGTAAATTATATAACTTATTCACTGTCTCTCTATCTACTCTACTGTTTTACCCAAAAGGGAAATAACTATTATTTACCAATTATTTCCTCTGCAGCTCTAGCGTTAGAGCGGAGTGGAGACGAAAGTGCGCTGGAGGGCGCAATAGCTCGTTGGTCGTTAGTACGTAACGCGAGCGGCGCGGGCGCCACGCTGCGGGCGCTGGCCGGCGCCGGCCTGGCGCGAGCGCACCATACTACTCACGACGCCAGCGCTGCAGACCACTGGTAGGTCTAGGTATACTGCACGGCATTTTGTGTAGATAGCTCATTGGTCTCTCAAAGAGCCATCAGACCTTCATGGATGGGCCCCACTGCGCCCGGTGCCAGGCCGTGGGTGAGAGTAAAAGTTACCGTGTCTTCGGCCTGAGGCAGGAGTTGGAATGATGTGATTTTAAGACAGTAAGAATGTCCCTCTCGCATCGATAAAATTATTTTATTTAATAATTTTAGGTACAGTCTCATCGGCAACTTCGATATTGGAGTTACCTGTGCGCTTGCACAACTGCACAGCGAGATGGGCGACACCCAAACTGCCAAGCATCACTATCAAGATGTGAGTAAAACAATATTTTGTACATGCAGCAGATATGAGCTTAAAACAAAAAATTATAGACAGGGTTAATAAACCTATGATTAAATAGTCAACGAAAAGAAAAATAAAATCGCGTAGCCCTTTTTGGATAAAAATAGAATTTAATGTTAAGATAAGATAACTTTTAAAAAGATTATTGGCAACTGAAGCAAATGAAAATAAAATTGAAAAGAGGTAATTGACCTGTATTTCAAGTTGAACGCAAATTCCAAGAACCAAATGCGTTCTAAAACCGTATATTGTACAGTTGATTTACATTGATTATTCATTACGTAATAGTCTAGAATGTATAGTGGATCGTCCTATATTCTGTCCTATGATCTAAAACTGCGCAGTTCCGTACTGAAAGGTGCAAATGAACTATTTAAAGAATATCTACGGAAAATATTCGTTGTGATATTGCCCGAACACACAGAGAAAAAAAATAATTAAATAAATTACATTGATATTAAATTTCGAATTTTTAAATATCGATTGAGGAAGTAATTCCAATTGGCACAATATTCAGTTTTCTTTATTGTTTTTGGGGCGCAGGTAATGGACAATACAGTCTAATTCGATACCGAAATAAAGTGGCTTTGCATTGAGTAAATATTATTAAAAAGCGTTAAAGATTCGTGTAAATGTATATTTCAGGCGTGTGACATAGTAATGGTCGACCTTGTACCATAACAGTGAACGACGAGGTAGCATCACGCGCCACCCCGCGTTTCTCATACATTATTCAATAACATCGGTTCAATAGATTATGATAGCCCGAATTGCTGTATATTTACCATTTATGTACTTACTGACAAAGACATTCATAATATTATTGTTCACTATTTTGACACCAAACAACTTATATTTTGTGTTAGGCACTTTATCTTTGGTGAAAATTGAAATAAACACTAGAATTAAAGTAGAATATCTATTATACTTGCATACAATCTGTCAGTTGATCGTCGTTTGAAAATAAATTAAGTTTTTATGGATTTAAGGAGCGTAAAAATTCAACATTGCACCTTTTTAATAGGTAGATTTAGGGTCTCTCTAGCTAGAAGATAAAAAGCTACTCTTATGATGCTTAATGATGAGGTAAACTAATACGCTTATGACCACTTTTTCTGCTTTTTCATTCGTTTTTATCAACGTCCATCGATAATAATTACATGTTTATTATTATTATACGCAGGTGGAAGCAGTGTGGCCATGTGAGCTGTCTGCGCTGGAGTGGTTGGCGAGTGAGGCGCCGCCCGACGTGGCGCTGCAGTACTACCGCCGCGCTGCCAGGCTGCAGCCTAACAATGTATAAGTACTAATTTTCTTTAAACCGCACCATTTACAAGTCATAAATAATCATATTTTTTATTGTGTTGATGATCTTAGTGATAAGGGTCAACACATGTCATCTGCTAACGTTGAGTAGTTAAATTTGTTAAGTACTACAAATTAGTACTTAACAAATTTAACTACTCTAGTTAGTAATTTTGACATAATGTCACTATTACATACCGTATCGTCAGATCACAAACACATCTACTAAACTATACATGATAAGTCCATTTCTGAGGTATACGAAGTAGCATACACTTCTTTGATTTAGAATTCTCGGTAGTTGCACTAAATCTTTTATTCATGGTCGTTAATTTATCGATTAGGATCGTAAAATATGCATTCTACCTCTATTGGACATAGTATCATTGTAACGGTCAGCTCTTCAGGCAGAAAACAAAAGATATTATAGGTACGTTAACACTGTATTAAATATTGTTTAGTATTCATAACTTCAATATCGATGTTTGCTAGGTGATTACTTATCTGTACCAACAGCCAACAGTAATAACCAGTGGGACATTTCGGAACGAACCGGTTTCAAAGTAATTAAGTTTCAGTATGCACTAGAACTAGATATTACTGGTTTATTATTTACAAATTAAACATAATGTATCAATATTGAATACCAAAGTACTTTTCGTGGAAGAACAGATCTTTGTTGAAATATTGTTAGTAGGTTTGATAATGTTAGCTGAGTAGATAGATAGTTACATAGTTATCTTGTCCATCATCGATATTTGCTCTAATATTATTAAGGAACAATACATTAAGTATAATGTTTCTGGGTTACTATCGGTTTTTCGGAGTATTCGTTTTATTCAGCCTAATTTCAAATGGATAGTCTTATTTCAAATATCAATATATTTACAACATATTTTGGAAGGTTCTTCGTAACATTACAACACGACTGTAAATAGTTCTGAGTCCAGTCGCTAACGAAGAAATTATATCAGTATCGATTATAATCAGTGTATAAATAAACTGTACTTACTTAGTAAATATCTCGTAAAAGGGATCAAAAACATTGCTGGTATTCTATTTACTTCTTATCGAAGAATATTCTATTTTCCGAATTGCTTTACGTCAGCCCACAACGATTATATATCATATTACAATAATAATATATTAAAACAAAGATAGTTATCACACATTTTGACCTTATATTATTGAAAACATTGTTACTTTTTGTGTTCATGTTTAGTTTTAATGATACTTATGTACTTTAATAGCTAAAGTCATACTTATTATAATAAGATTATGTATAACTTTAAATATTTACAAAAAAGTATGACGTATATCAGAATTGGCAAGTAATTTCTGAAATATAATTAAGGAATAGATAAATAAATCGTTAATTGCGGACTAGCGAAGTATAGAGAAATTAGAAGTTAATTGTACATTTCTTGTTAATTTACATAATTATAATATAATATTTTTATCTGACATGTGACGTTAAGTCACTATCCTACAATTTATTGCTCTTCAATATTATCTTACTATTGTCATTTTCCTCACAGCCACAATGGGGGTTGCTGACGGGAGCATGTTTGCGCGCGAGTGGACGGTATCAAGAAGCACTGTCTCTATATAAGAAGATGAACACACGGTTCCCTGACAACGTCCAATGTAAGTAGTTTTGATGACATAAAATGACTCCTTTTAGACGGCTGGACTCCGAAGGAGTGGAGTACTTAAATAACACCCACTTTTTGTCAGTTGTGTAATTTAACCATAAAAGTACAATTCCTGATCTCGTAATATCTATAACAGAGAATTTTCGAAAATGATTTGGCCCTATAATTACTGTTCCGGTTTCGGGAAACGGATTGCTCAATAGTCGCGCTTGTGTCTACTTGACTTACGACGCAGTTTTGATGTTATAGGCACTTAGCATCATAACTGAAAAGTTACAATTATTAAATTAAATAAAGACAAAAGTTAAATTAACTGCACTACAATGCATTTCCACTTCACACATTCATTTTTGCAATACATTTCCATTATCTTAGATCTCTGTATGACATAACATAACATCACGCCTTTTATCCCCGAAGGGGTAGGCAGAGGTGCACATTATGCCACTGTACAATGTAGCACCCACTCACTATTTATGTTATGAGTCCCATGTAATATGGGGTGAGCCTATTGCCATATACCGGGCAGAATTCCGTGCTACTAGTGAGAATCTTTAAAAAACCCAGTAATATTTTGCCCGACCCGGGAATCGTACCCGAGACCCCTTGCTCGGCAGTCGCACTTGCAAACAATCGGCCACTGAGGCAGTCAGTTAGCAGACAATTATATAATTAAAATGTATGTAACTAGGTCTGAAGTTGATAGTAAAGCTGTGCGGTGATCAGGGCCTGTCAGAGACTACGTCTTGGACCCGAGAACTTCAACGTGCACAAGCGAGAGTGAAACAAAAAGAACAAGGTTTGTTATTATCTCACTATAACATAATAAAAATAACTGTGATACTTTTGACTATGGAATTAGACCATCTCTGCTTATGGAGGGTTTCCATCTTCACGCTTAACAGATCAGGCTTGGGTTAGAGATCACTTTCAAAATGTTCATTTTATTGTCTGTTCCAATTGTAAATAGTCAATTCTATTATAAAACACGATTAATAATTAAAAAAAAAATATGTTGTTTTATTGATTCTAGCAATAATGAAGGTAACGCCAACAACATATTTTTTCTATCTTAAAACCTTGAAAAGTTAATTGATTTCATTGAACATAATCAATGGAATGTATAATAATATTTGAATTATTTATCAACTAAGGAAAAATACTACGCACTCTTGTTATTGTCATCAGTAATGTGAAATTATAATGCGCATGTATTGTATATCGAACGACGAGAGTCATCGCTTGTCTTATCTCAGAAATTAGATCACGTCGATGAAGCAAATAACGGCGAAGTTTAAACCTGAACTGATTTTACTTGCAGTATCAGTTACGTCAGCCGGAAGTATCTCCTCGGGGGCCAGTCAATCACCTATAGACCAAATCAGAGGTCAGTTACACGAAAATACAGTAAATACTACAAAACATTGCATAAGCCTTTCAATCGCTCACTATTTGTTTTTCTTTTTATCGCACACGAGTATCTCTAAAATAAGGTTAAATCGCGGAAATTCCAGAAAAAAACATATTTGCCTTATCATTTCTATTTGTTTTTGATTAATCGTTATTTGTGAACAAATATGATATTTACGTCGCTACCTGTTCAGGGGTGATTCATGATTGTATCTAAACTTCAATGGAATTACGTGATACACACCTTTTTTTAAAACAAGTCCGTGAGATCCGAATTATTCATGATTACGTTTCAAGTTATTATTTTAACGCCTTTACAGCGTCGTGTGGTTAAGGATAGCACCATCATATTGTTACGCTTACATGATCGGTTATTCATGAATTTGTAATGAATGTAAGTAAATAGTACCTAATTAGGTATGTACATGGCATTGTGCAGGCGGTGGTCGCGTGGACAGTGCGGCGGGCCCCGCGGCCTCGCGCCGCTCCAGCGACACCCGCCCCGACAGTGCGCTCAATAGGACATACACGTGAGTTACTGTACTACTACGACTACGCCACTTTCTTTATACATTTCATTCTTTCTTACATCAAGAAGTTCGATACTAGAGAGACATTAACTCAGTTTCTACCACCTTATTGAATGCCATCTAGTTCCAGTCGTTCTACGATCTTTGTAGGAATACGTTTTTAGATGTAACCTGTACCTAAGCTCATTTCAGAATAGGTGCTTAACCATAAATCGGTAGTAGCTATTTCAAAATGCAAATAACGTTTAAGTGAAACTATTAGCTTGTTAATTTTATTGGAATCTTTATATTTAAGTTAATCAAGTATTAGCAAATCAATGTTAACCCCTGGTGAATGTAGCGTGAGAACTTTGCCTCATTAACGCTACTGCGCACCAGACGATTGTACTAAAAAACTGAGACTGGCGCCACAGGGTCAATCGTCTGAATATTTATTGGGTTGATTCCTTAATCAATTCAATCACATTTGCGTAGTTAACGTTTAGTGGAAAGTGCCAATACCTCATCACCTGTAGTTACGAGGTAAGCACCATGTCTAAATATAAACAATGCCCTTTTTGAACAGACCTTTTGCAAATGTCAAGTACCTACCTAAATAAATTTGGCAATTAGCATACATCCGGGGATTCATTAGATGATTATAGACTTCGAAGTTCGAATAGCATGCACACCATAGCAGTATTTAATTTTGATTGGCGAGTCATGGGTGACTGTGATAATCGCGTAATTACATGACTTTATCAACTAGCAAAGGAAGCAACTGTTACACCTAGTATTAGTACTTAGGTAACAGTTGCACAAAAACAGTTGTAAGCTTTTTAAAAGTCGTTGTGCTTTTGCCTCCATTTGAGTACGGTTTAAAACGATGATCCTCAATAAGACTCAAAATCTAAGATGTGTAACCTGAAATAGACATTATTTTTCAACTATTTCTAAATATTTCTTCGATTATTTTTAGGTATTCAGCCACGTCGAACCAGGATGGTTTGCAGCCGGTCAACAGGTCTATAAACCGTTCGGAAGCCAAGAAAAAACATGTCGATGAATTTGATGATGACCTGCCACTGCCACCTGAGTGAAATTAATGGTTATTCTTAATGTGACCCTATTTTTTAGTAATATAATGCAATTTTTACGGTAAATCTGTATTATTTAAATAAAAGAGTTATAGTCCTTGAAAATATTTTCCTAATTTGATTTTAAAGTTCATCAAGCAAAATCAATAGGTACTTAGTGTTCTTTAACCTCTTATGTGTCGGCGCATATGAGACACATTGTGTCTCGCGTATGTCTACGCTCCCGGCATACCATGGGTTAAGAGTACTTTTATTTTCACTTATAATAGTCTAGTAACACATCGTTGCATTTTGGCGCAGTTATAGGAACGTTTAGTTCAGTAACTATCTTATAACCATCTTATACAATGTTATTAAGCCCTATAATATACTTGACAAAACGCAATAGCGTCTATAATGATATAAGACTATACAATTACAAGTGTAAAAACTCTTGTTAATATCTCAAGGCTTTGCAAATGCTATTATATCTAAGTTAAAGAGTCTACGTTAATGCCTTTACAAGAACGTTATATTAAGTAGTAATAGTCTTATATTTTTAATAGGATTACTTTGCTTTTTGGGTAACTGACTAATCGTATCGTATGACATTGCAACATCTTAAGTCTTTTTTTGCACTGGCGTATTCCTGTATTTTTTATTTAAGTACAAGGATCACGTGGTTTTTAAGGTAGAAAAGTCTTGCTTGTTTCATTATTATTCATTACATTTTTTATTCTGTTTATTGTGAGAATTTTTGGAAAATCATATTTTCACATATGCTATCTATTGATAAACAAGTGTTAAAATAAAACTGTGCTACTATTGTCTGCCTACGTCAGCGGATTACAAAAACAGATTAGGTGTAAGTAGTGGCTTCGTACTCCTCACATAATTATGTATACCTATTGTTGATATCTGTCGTAAAAAATGTATTGTGCCTAAGTGTTGTCTACTTACTCGTGATTTATTAAAAAAATCGATAAGGACTTCAAAACTATTTAAGTAACGATTAGATGTCTACTGATTAATTGTATACGATTTACATGTTGTGAAATACAGTTTCTAATTAGATATATGGTCAGTATAGTATGCCCACACAGATCCCTCTTCTACAGGAATGTCAGTCGCTTATGTGCTGTTCGCTTCCTTTATTTAATTTAGCACATTATTCCGGGCCTGTTCCACGTCCAGGTACCACGCAAGAAAAAAAATATTATTTTAATGATAAGGTATAATTATATATAGTGATATAGTAATAAGCCGGGGCGGGTCGTTAGTAAACGACTCGCCCCGGCTTCGCACGGGTGCAATACACATGTATTATACATATTATTATAAACCTTTCTCAAGAATCACTCTATCTATTAAAAAAACCGCATTAAAATCCGTTGTGTAGTTTTAAAGAACTAAGCATACATAGGGACATACAGACGGCGGATAGCGACTTTGTTTTATACTATGTAGTGATATTGGCCCTAAAGCAAGCACTAGGTACTAAGTCACTAAACATTATTCCTTGATTTCATTAACTCTCATCAACCGCAGAACTCGTTACCTACAGATTACGATCAATTACGATATACATAGGTTATTTTTTATGGAATAGGAGGCAACCGAGCATACAGATCATCTGATGGTAAGCGATCAGCGCCGCCAATGGACATCTGAAACAACAGAGGAGTAACAGGTGCGTTGCCGGCCTTTTAAAAAGGAATACGCTCTTTTCTATAAGATAAGGTAATGTCGTAAATACCGCCGACGACAGATCATTCCATAATTTTGGAGAGAAGCGTATAGTTGTGGCCTGCCGATATAATGGAGGTGGATATATGCTATCCTGAGAGTCGATGGCGAGAAGACGCGGCAGGTATCAGATCAAACAATTCCTTAGAGCACTCCCCGTGGTATAGCAATGGAGCAATAGAAAATTCACAACGAAGCTTATATTATATAGCTTTATGCTTAGTATGTGATACTTGTACCTACAATACGTTTAGTAGGACTGCTCTTAGGGAGTGACTGACCTACCTCACATATCGGTTTGGCTTGCACAAAGTACAGAGGTAGGTACCTACATATTTTATAGACCTCAATATCTTGATCATATTTTATTTACCTCGCATATTTATCAAAAAAGGCGCGGTCAGTATCATGATTCATGAACTAAGTAATTAGATCGCAGCATTCTGTTCAACACTAATGTGTTAATGCGTTTTAGTATATTATGTTTAGATAGTCAAAACGGCAAAGTTAGATAACAAGCGGACCCAAAAAGGCACTTCATGAAACTAAAGCTAATTTTGACAGATTCTCTATCCGATCGAGTCATCGAGTTTCGCTATCATACTACCATTGTGTTTTCAGACACATAAAATTACACCTGGTCTAACAAAGAATGATGCAGGTACAACCCTCTAAGTACTAAAAACTAGAAGAGAACTACAGTCGCTTCTTCATTTAATTAATGATGAAATAAAATTAGGTACTTCATTAATTAGGGCCTATGTGATTTATGTTTTATCATTACGGATGTTAATAAAGGTACCTACATATATTGCGGAAGACATTATTGTCATCAACCCGGTAATCTTGAATGTCTTCCTTCTTGCGTAATTGACTAATTACCAAAGTTCCAACCAATGAATTTTATCTTTTATAGTATACTGGACTAATGTTAATTTTCAATTTCAATAACTTAATTATTAATAAATATATACAACTTAAAATACAAATACCTAAAAACTAAAATATTTACACCTTAAAAAAAATTTTGTTACCTTAGGCCAGATATAATATTGTAGTCTTTGCCTTAGGCTTAAAAGCTACAAAAAAATTTCCTCAGCGCTATCGTGAGGTAGGGTGCCCAAAAAACTGGCATCATTGCCACGTTTAATTTGCCTTCCCCTACACTTATTATACACTATGCCTTTGCCCAAGGTAGTAGCAAGTCCTTCGATCACCTGAAGTGTTGACCACCCTTCTTACAATCTTTGGGCCCCACGCACTGCACTTGGGCCCCACGGCCATAAAGTTTCAACCCCTAATAATAATGTTAATTTGGGGCCCGGTCGGTGAGTTGGCGAGTCTCCGCCTGCCATTTTTACGTGTAATAATTACATTGTTTCGACAGGTGCCATAGTCATCCATAGTTCCCAATTTCCCAGTCCACAGCAACCCATCCATAGCCCTACCTTTTTTTTCCATTATCCACAATAGTTTTACACAAACCGGGGGCTGTCCTTGGGTGCATTTCCATAGTGCATACAGGGATAGTCGCCGGTTTGTGTGTCCACTACATTTATATTAAAGTTGTCTAAAGGGCCTCTGCGCAGTTGGCTTCGGCCCCTCGTACGCCTCCCAAATGACCGGGACCCTGTGGTCCCGTGAATGGTAAAGACATACATAATGTTACTTTCATTAAACTGTCAAATACCAAGCGGTCACCGGTGACCGCAACCCATTGTTCTATAATTGTGTCTATAATAACGGTACTCAACGAGTTAATTGCCTCAAATTCTGTGGTGAAAACCACATGTTTCATTAATTGCAATTTTATATTTATGTTTCTCTATCAAACTCGGGGTTGAAACTGTGTTAGGCGGACGGACACCTTAAATATTTTAATCCTCGAAGGAGTAGGCACAGATGCACATATCACACAATATGAATACTCATTTTTCGCTTATTATGAGTTCAATTTCAAGATATTCGTTGGTTTTTTGTTGGTTTCAAAATCCAGGGATAAAATGAAAAATATATTTATTTAATAAAAAAATATATTGCATTAATAAATATTGAAGGATTCATACAGATTCGTACCTTAGACTAGAAAAATGCACGTTTTCGGCTAGATTACTTTCAAGGTCAAAATCAATTACAATATTTAATGAACTGAACAAAATCTTGAAAATACAATACTTCAGTTCACAAATAGGTCAACTTTGATTTGTCAAAACGTCACTTACGTCAGCATTGTTCATTGGTCTAAACTTAAAACGTTTATAATAATTATATACAGAGTAAGCTTCGGTTTTATATTAATTACAAGTAATATCACATCACGTTTTACAAGTCTGTTATTGGAGGCGTCATGGTATAGATATGTCATTCGTTATGATTTATTATTATCATTTTTAAGTCAATAAGTCTTTTTTGCTTACTCTAAGAGTACTCACTCGATTACGTGAAACGGCATTCTTTATCTAGTTATTACTATTTGTAACTAAATAATATTTACAATAATCCTAACTTCATATAACCCAACATTAATATTTTGTAACAACAATAATACAGTCATAATTTGATTTGGATGGCTTACGTTTCCTAGTGTTTACAATAGCACCATACAACTTACTATAGCAAGTTGAGAATGTTCGCGTTTACTTCACTTCATACTCGGCCGATGTCTCGACCGAGTGAAATAATACCAATTACTTGACGTCCTCCCGTAGATAGTAGATAGTGAATAAATAAATAAAATAAACACGTACACACTGATAGCGCTAACGATAACAGTATAATTAGGCGAGTTCTTGTGCTTCCAAATGCGCAGCATTTACACATCGTCCGCTTCTCTGTTCAATGTAACCTTAACTTATCAATAAACGTTATCTTTTAAATAATATAATTTATCGTCCACACATTTAGGCACAGAAAGTTTTCTGATTATTTCTCAGCACAGAACAGTTTTCGATATGTATATTCACATAACTCGTCGGCTAGCGACGTACTAGCAAATAGTCAGTGTCGGGTCGCAGCCGGCCCGAGCCGCGGCCGGCACTACGAGATGACCTTGGCGTACGGGTGCTCTATGTGTCCGTACTGGATGGCCAGCAACGTGTCCTTCACGCGCTGGTACACGGGCTGCGCCTGCGACATGGTGGGCACGCGGATCTCATGGTCCAGGAAGCCCACCCTACTGATGGGGCTGATCACTACGGCCGTGCCCGCACCGAACATCTCCAACAACTGAAAGAACGTAGGGTTCACTTAATATTTTGAACTTTCGTATTAAGACATAGGTACTAACAAATATGAAGTACGAAACTTACCCGTCCTTTTTTGTTCAACTCGATTACCCTATC